ATCACCCATCTAGGAAGATAAATCATTTGATCTAGTCAATAAGCTTGGCGTTGCGTATAAAATCTCCGGTGTTGTTTGCTGCGATGGATATTCGCTTATTCGGGTCATCTGTCTCGGGAAATTCCCAAGTTTGCCTTTATTGATATATTTCAAATATTGATTAGGTAAAATCGCAACAACAACAAATTATAAATATCCTGGACTCGAAACGAATTCCCTACACTTTTGTTGACATCTCTGCTTCAGAACAAGATAAAAAATTGTTTCGGGATACAATGCAGAACCTAAACAAATCATGCATTCTTCCGCAGATTTTTTATGGATTCGAATACCTAGGAGTATGTCTTAGGATACATTTCCAATAATATCTTATCCACTTTCTGCCATCATTGGTTGAGAATAATTAGATTATTTGTTGTAATCATACATATTGTTAGGGACAATTTGTTCTCCTTTAACAATTTTACAATAATAAATTGTTTCTCTTAGGGCTATGAAGAGTTTTGTTTTGCCAATGAGAACGAAGAACTTGGAACATTCCTGCGCATCAAGGTTAGTCTGCGTCTTTCCTTATTTTTAGAGTTAAAATGTATCGAATTACCAAATAGCTTTAATTACTGAGGCTATCAACAAATCTTCCTCTACATTCCACCTGTTGCCATTTTTGAATAGCCTTCAACCGGCTGATTTCTACATTGATATTACTCTGTTTTTCATATTATTTATGAATTTTTTTCCATTTTAAAGCTTGGAATTGCTAATGCGAATGAAAAATTATTTAGCAAATATTTCAGTTAACTGTTATTTTTTGCTTAACCTTTAATAATAAACTGGTTTTTCTCAGTTCATTTTTCAAGACCCTGTTTCTATACATTCAGTTTGCCTTGCATAAGCTGAGCTTGGAGCTTGTTATTTGCTATTTCACTATGCTACTTTACTCATTCGGACGCTATTCTCGAACGTAGTCAATATGTTCACCTTCACATTCCTTTTGGTCAGAAATCTTTCACACAAGCTTGTTATAGGCTTTTTTGATTTTTTTTTCTCAGGTTTTGAATTTTGATTATTTATGAATAAGAAATAGTCTGATTTTTATTGCTGGCCCCTGATGGGTAGCCTAACTTTATCGCAACATTTTTGTGTTAAAATAATATATTTATTTTTGTGCAAATGTTAGCTTCTGTCTTCACTTACATTCAAACGTTTTTTTGTTGCTACAGTGGATATATCCTTCGTTCAGATATTCCAATTTTTTCTTCTTTTGAGTTGAGTTTTAATTGGTACATAAAGATTCCAAATAAACGCATAAATACTTGTTTACTGTTGTCTATTTTGTGTTTTGATTTCTCCAATATGTCGATTCGCATAAAATTCTTGAACTTGGCCTGATATTTCATTTGATTATAACTATATTTTCCATCTGAATGTTTAGAAGAAAAATGTTGCTATCTTCAACTATTTTGTTGAAGCTAGTTCACAATTATA